CAATCGCGAGAATTAAAACGACGAAATATGCAACTACAAAACAGATGGAGACTGCAATAAGTTATCACATAATCAAATATTTTAAAAAGCTGAATGAAGTGTATACACATTTATAGATTTAGCGATTACCAAATATATTCCACGAGAACAAATAAGACGATAGCTGCCAAAACGAATTCTCGGTCAGTATTATTTGACCAAATAGWATTTGTTGATTACAAACAGTTTGTATATATTCAAAAAACTGTGATTAAATTTCAAATGTGGTGCCCAAAGTATTCCACGTACAAATATTATCTAATACAGCTGGCYGCAATAAATATTATGTACCTACTATAATTATAATATATAAGAATTAACCAATTTTTCGGCCTTGCGCTCAAATCATYTATAGTATCGTTTTTATGTTTGTTGCTACGTACCGAATCTTTTTGACATGTCAAAGGGCACATGATTTTCGTGAAGACTTTAACTTTTCGTTTCAACACGTTAACAATATAATGATATTATATTCAACTTTTGTATATTCAGCCGTAGCGCCCGTAGCGCATTGATTTCATAAACGACGCGTGACGGTGATAAAAAAAAAATAATGAGTTTCAATTGGATTGTATTCATTAATAATTTTAACAAATACACATAATAATAACCCTCTAAGATAAATAATATTTCTAGAGGGAATTCAAACAACTATTTGGTGAGTCAAGTGTGCATACTACATGCATCGTTTTGTTTTTATATGTTATCAAAACATGTCATTGTGTAATGTAGATATAGGTACTAACGTATATTATATAACTATTTGAACATCATAATTTTATAGGAAGCAAATATTAAACTTTAACTGTGAAATTTTAATTATGCATGCATTCAAGTGATTGATTAATAATTAAAAAAAAAAAAWATATATATATATAAAATATCTATTCCTTAAATGACGACCTAACTCATCCTTTGTTTTTAATATTTCAGTTTTTCAGATGGTTAGATGATGAGTCATTTCTTAGTCAAACCTTTAAATAAATATTTTGAAAACAAAATTTGAACTATTATTTACCTAGTGTAAAATCCTAATTTTACACTAAATACTCACTCTTATAATATTCCTATAGAAATACACATTAATATGTAACCATAATTCTTTAAATGCATAGTAAAAGCTTGAAATATCTATCTGTTACAAGAATTGAATTATATAATTGCAATGCATTGCTTTATATCGCCAAAAAATAAAATCTCAGGATTTTGGAAAAAGTAAAATTGAATAATACTTTATATTGCGTATCGTATAGTACTCACCCTTGAAGCCTCCGTTCCGCCTCCACAATCCTGCGGTTGGCTATCACTTGGACAACTGTCAACGTGCACACCCTTCCCTGGTCGTTTACGGCTTCACAAGAGTAGCGACCCTCATCGCCGTCCGCTACATCATCGATCGTCAGCATGCACTTWCCTGCATCCGTGCGACTGACTACGTGTCTGTCCGACGCCAGCAAAGGTTCACCGTCTTTAAACCACCTCACCTGTGGCTCCGGGACACCTCGAACCTGTCAGATATCCATTTCGATTGTCAGTTAACTTGTTAACATATCACTCACAAAGTTACTGTTGTATTTTAAGTTAAAAATAGATGCATGTTTTTTTGTTGCTTTTATATAATAGATTTTATATGTATAAAAAGGTACATATTCAATATCTTATTTTATTTAAACAAGAGAAAATTAAAAACAACTTTATTTCGAAAATTATTTCAGTATTTGCTGTATAGTGGCTA